GTTATTATTGTCCAGCTTTCTTCTTCTTGAAATTGTCCGGTTACCAAACAACCCGGAATTTAGTCTGTATCTTTTAAACAAACTAAGGCTGATTGCGAAATTGTACCTAAAACCACTATTCGTGGCTCTATATTTCAGCATTTGTTGCATCAATTTTATTTAGTTGGCATAATAAGTTCCTCCATCAAAAACTTACTGGGTGAAACGAATGTTATGAATGTTGAACAAAACTGAGCACATACGTTTTCTCAAATATTTTGAAAGGGGGAACAATACTTTTTGACAGGCTAGTATTACTAGGTTAGTAAAATTATTTAGTTTTGACTTTTAATTGCTCCAGCCATTAATAATGAAAAAGAACTTTGACTTCAGCTGGGTTCTAGTTTTCTCTTTCTTTTTCACGCAAAATGAGACAAAGATAGTCATCTGAAAGAGTCTTGTGATATATTATATTGAAGCTGTTTCAGTCGTGATTTGAACAAAAATGCAAAAATTCTTCTCAGTGTGTTGAGAAAAACTGGTTTGAAGCGAGTCGAGCGAGTAAAGGTAGCAAGTCTTATTAGTCTAATTCAATGTAATATCTTATTCTTATAACTCAATTTAAGCAAAGAAAAATTAGTTTTACTCCAACAAAGTCGGTAATGAAGTTGCTTTTAGCGCGTTATACAAAATTCTTTTTTTAATCAAAAATTTTTTCTGCAAAAAAATAAGAATAAGATTTTTTAAAATAATTTTGAAAAAAAACTGCTACCTAATTTAGTAAAGCTTATGACTAGGCCTAAATTCTAGCTTGTTTAAATACCCTTTCATCAACCACCTGTCAGAAACGAGACAAACTGAAAAAAAAAAGTTTTTGTTCTCATAAAAATCGAAAAAATGGTTAAAACGTTAACAATTTTTTTCGACAAATGAGCAATTTGGTTAAAAAAAACTGAATAAACAGGCTAACAAAAGTAACAACGCTGTCGCAAACTTCAATTACACGTATATTTGAGAGCAATTATGGTTTTCCACAGTTTGTAGAAAACGGCCCATCATTTTTTTCGTTTATCCTGATATAAACAAGGTTGATCGAAATCCGCCTTAGCAAAGTTAGCGAACTATCAATCTTATTTCAGCTTCGTGTCTTAAACAATTTTTGTGCTATAATGATCAATTTTTTGATCAGATAGTTCGTTCTTTCAAAGTTGTTCTCGAAATTTATGTAAGCTTAGTGCTGTTTTTACATCTGATGGATTACAATGAATTCTGTAAAATAGAATTTTTTGGTCTGCCAACGGAATTCACAAAAAATAGGATAATTTTTCAAACTTCTTCATTGAAATATTAATGAGCTTAATTGATTATATACCAGTTTCTTTGCACGTTTCGTCTTCAACTTTGACCCTAAGTTGCTTCTCATTTGTGTTTTTCACAGACGTTTGGAAAATTGCTTCAGCTGTTTGCAAATCAGCTCAAAATTAAAACAAAAACCTATTTAATTTTTTTTCGATCAGATTATATTCATTGCAAATTTTTCGACCCCTAAAATAAGCGTACAATGTTTTAGTTTGATGATTACTTTGATTGAGATTTTTTTTTCATCTACCGCAAAGTTTTTTGGAAGTGTCTGCGAAGTTTTGTCTGATAATAAGTTAAATTTTGAGTTTAGATGAACCAAAACTTGAAAAAAAACGGCTCACGTTTGGATATTTTTTAATGGTGCATTGTTATGATTCGCTATCATGCTTATTTCTGTTGTGACAATCATTTGGCAAAATAAGATATTATAGTCGATTATAATAGATTTTAAGAGATAATCTTTTCTTATCAAAAGTTACAATTATTTATAGTTGAAAGGTATCAATTCTAAACTTTTGTAAAAATGTGTTTTGTTGGGTTATAAATTATTAAACATCTATTTTGGCTTTCATAATTCATTCTAATTTTAAAAACGAAATATAACTGAAGTAATTGTTACGACCACTGAAAGTGGGGAAAAACATTGTATTTGGTTGTGTTTTAGTTTTTTATTCAAGGACTCTTTCATTTTCATTTTCAGCATAGTTGTATCATGTTCAACAGGTTTCCGACAAATCCATTTTTCTGTCGTTTGTTGAAAGCGCTTCGTCAGGCGTTCATCAATTCAACTTGAAAAACTTCTGAACATCAAACTTTGAACAAATAGATATTTTAATCCATTTTCTTAATGTATTTTGGTAATATCTGAAACAAAGTAACTTTCTGTGGTAATTTTACAGCGGACAGCTGCCTTTGATCTTAAAAGAATCCGGTTCAAACCTACAAAATGTGAAAAATGAGTATTTTGGAGGCGGTTCCTTCAATTTCTATTTTTTCTCATTGAAACCTGAAGATAAATTGAGAACACGGAAAGTAGATGGGATGGTCTTGAATTGCATTCTCAAACGCATAAAAATTCAAAATTCAAATCTAATTTGCATATTTTTATACTTGTGACGCAACTATTTGCTCTTATTATATCAAAGCTTCAACGGATGATGGGTATGAGAAAACGATAACAGGGACGAGGGAGCTGAAATTAGAACTTGGAGCAGGTAAAAGCGGTAAGATTAAACAACCAAATTAGGGTAAAACAACAAATCGTACTATTTGGCTTTGAAGTAAACTAGAAACAGTATTTTAGCGTTTTTTAAAGATTTTGTTAATAATAAAGAAAACTTGCGCATTTTTGATGCAGCTATTTTTACATCTGCCATGAATAATTACCAAGGCGAAAAAGAGACAGTCTTTTTCAGATTTGGTCATTCTGATTTTATAATTCTTCTCTTTTTAAGCAGAAATTCGATACATAATCTTTTCTGTCAGCGCTTACCTAAAAAAATAGATGTCTGACTTAGCGGGTTATTACAGCTTTTTTTGCCGTTTTATTGAATGTTCTTTCTTGTAAAACTTTTATGATGCTATGATTGCTATCATCAATTATTGTTTTCCCACCATGCTTAGAAGAAAAAATATGTGAACTCTATTTTACAAACTTATCTGCTTTTAGGAGACTTAAGTCATTTTTACAATGAATTTGTAAAATCTGAGTCGCTCATTTTGGATTGTGATATATGGATGTGACTTTTAGTTTCCTTAATAGGGCGTGAGGAGGGAAATCTCTGGAGTGTGAACTAATTTTCTACCATTTGTCTATTTGGGAATGGGGACATGGGGGGGGGGGGGGCTTTTTATGACATCGGTCAATGGTTTTATAATGGAATTGACTGTTTTTTGTTAATGGAAAACTTGAGCGAAGGGATTTGCCTAACTGATAACTCATAAACACCTTTTCCAAATAAAATTGCCCAGCTAGATTTTCAAATCGAACTTTACTAGGCCGACATGGATTACGAAAAGCCCACAAAATATATCCGCATAAAATAGCTACTGAATTTGGTTCTACTAAGTAACATATTTTTGAATTTTCAGAAAAAGTATCGGTTTTCAATTTTTATGGTCGGTATATTGAATTTCTTCATTCGGGCTTTGTTTTTATAGTGCCACATTTTTTTACCAAACACTGAAAATTTTAAGTTACAGTCACTTAACATCATTTTCCAATCCACTTCTTTTTTCTCTTGAAGTCTTAAGTTGTTTGCAATTCCTGAACTCAACTATACAAGACTATAAAATGTAACAAAATATCAGTTTTTTTTTAAATTTTCCTTTTCCTGTTTTATGAAGTCTAAACTGTCGAGAGTTCATCAATTATTGACCGCCCCGCCGATTTCTCCCAGGCTGAATATTTTAACATTTTTTATTGGTATCCTCATTTTAACGCATGCATCGTTGAGTTTCAAAGGCGGCGCATTGTGGAATTAAAATTTGATACCGCTATTGTGTTTTTTTTTGTAAAATTCAAAGGTAAATACTTCACTGTATTTATCTATCTCTATCTTTCTATCTATATCTTTCTATAAACACTAGGATTATCTTCAGGTAATCGAACAGAAACAAAACAGAATCAACTTATTTTTTTCTAATAAAATTGAGAAAAAAGGTAAATACTATCCATAATCATTAATCAAATTATTAATCCAAGATGGGTTAAATATATAAATGTTTATTAAAATAAGCTCGAAAATAAAAGTCGTCGAGTAACTTCTGTTTCTTTTCTTTTTTATAAATGTGTCCATATTTAAAATTTATTGTTCATAAATTTTTTCATTGTTTAAAATATATTTATAGTTCTTAAATTTTGTCCCACTATGTCATAATCAATTTTCATCATTACGTCTAGAACTTCGCTGGAATTAACCAACAAAATGTAGTATTTAGTCAATGATAATACCAAAAAAATTGCACCATGAATCTATTTGTTAATAAATTAAGTAATTATCATTGAATATTCAAGAAAACAACATTATATATTATAAATATAATCAGTTTTTGCGTATGTAAATTGTATTCTTTCTCAACTAGTTTACCAATTCAATGGGTTGAAAACTTGTTGCATGTTTGCAAAAAAAGCTTCATTTGACAATTTTAGCGAGAATTATACCCATTTCCGTTCGATGCCATCTAGCATTTCAAATAATTTCTGGTAGTTGAAGGATAGCTAATAAAGAATACAAACCCAAGACATTGCCCGAGGCAGCTGAAAAATAAAAAGATGGTATCACAAAAAGTAATCGCAGCATTTTCAAGGTTGGCAGACGAAAAAAATTGTTTTCCTTCTAATCTTCGAGGCAAATTGCTTTTGAATCTCAGAAAAAAATGAGGCAACATTATACACACAGAACTAAGAGTAAACTGATAACCCAGAATCGTCTAATATAATATGTGCTTAAAACCTATTGCGCAATAACTCTTTATAATTTCCTGGTCTATATTTGAAAAAAAAAACTGCCGAATTTCTAAAAATGGATACCAATATCTGTTTTTTTTTCTGATATCGCTGTCTGAAATCTTAATTTACTTCTTGTATCTATTCTTAGGGTACTAATTTCATCAACTTGGTCACCGCAGGGCGTTTATTGAAATTTATTACATTTCAGGTCGGTTATTAATCCCGCAGAAGGAAGTTTTCTTATTCTTCCTACTAATTTGAACGAATTAGCTGCGATGATTGAAAAACGGACATGGATTACGACATTCTAAGACGATAAAAAATTATGGCCTAGTCACGGATCAGCGACAATAAAAAGCTGGAAAAAAGGATCTTGGCTGTTTCTTTTTCACAGCGCATTAAATCATTCATGACAAATATCTCAGAAAATCGATTGGACTAATTTAAGTAATGCTTCATGTCAATTATTTTTGGTTTACATTTTGTATCACACGAGTAATTTACACAAATAACGATGAGAACTAATTGTGATTCTGGGACTACTTAAATCATACGCGAACGATTTGCTACTTTGGGATGTTGATACTTCATTGAATTTCACGATTCTCAATGACAAACACGGCAACAGCGGCGTCGTCTCTTCCGACCCTGCCTGGGACAAGATCCACCAGTGGGCTCAAATATTACCCCGAAGGTGGCTGGGGCTGGATAGTTGTAATATCTGTATTTATAACTCAAGTTATTACAACCGGATTACATCTTAGCTTTGGTGTCACATTTTACGTTTTCCAAGTCGTAAATTACGCCGACCGGAATCTTACAGGTAAGACTTGAACACTTAGTTTGATCACCGATAAGTTATTACACCAGATAGTTTTAGGAGCACCAAATTGGGCCATAACATAGTTTTAACAGTCATTTAAACGAAAATCGAAGTCATGAATATATCCGACATTTGACTTGACATTTTTACTATGCAAAAAATATATCTCACATTCATTCTAGAATAATAGCGGATTTAGGGGGGGGGGGGGTTGAAGGGGTGGAAGCTCTTAACCTCTGGGGTTAGACCTCTCATGGTCCTTTTGGTACTAATTTAGGACACCCCTTTTTGTTGGTCGAACAACCCTAAAAAATTTTAAACCCCTAATGATATTCCTTTTTCCACCCCTAAATAAATTTTGTCTTTTGGTGGGTAGGGTTATAAGGTTATAACCAATTAAACTTTCGTTTTGCCCAAAGTTTGAGCGTATATGTTTAGTTATTTGTTGTGTGTGTTCACATCATCATAATTGTGCGTTATTTCACTTTGCTGCTTAGACTAAAAGACCTCATATTATCTTTCAGAGTCCCTCTCACCAACTCTCTCGCCCTTTTTAGCTTGGTCAGGCTCCTTATCTTTCGGAATATCCCACCTTCTATCTCCCCTTATTCTATGCTTCACCTTCAAATTCGGACCCAGAAAAATGGCCCTCGTTTCGGCTGTTTCCACCATCGTCTCTCTCATACTCTGTAGTTTTACGACGTCGCCGCTGCTTTTTGTTCTATGCTACGGGTTGCTGTTCGGCGTGGCGTCTTCAATTTGTCTCGTTACTTCGTTTATTATTCTGTGTCAGTACTTTTCCAAGAAGAGAATCCGAGTGTTCGCGATTGCACACAGTGGCGGTGGCTTCGGAGCTGCCCTTTTGTCCCCTTTGATCTTCGAATGCGCCAGGTAAAACTACATATAATTTATAATTTGTATATTCATTTCTTTCAAATGGTTTAGGCTTGTTGATCATTTTTATGAAACGACGGTCAGGAATGCCATTTTTGCAACATTTTGACCAAAAGAATTGCATTTTTTTTGGCACACGATCCCTTGCAAAACGGTCCACTTACATTTTTAACCCCATCCCCCCCTAAGTTTCCAAACATTTTAAAAAAATTGTTGAAAGGAACATAATTGAGAAATTGAGCAACATACAAACAGTAACAAAAATCAAAGTTGTGCTGAAAAATGTTGAAAATTAATATGTAACCAACTTTAATTTGAAACGTAGAAAACATTGTATGTCGTTGAAATCATAATAGAGTTTTATTGTCTTTATCTATAAAATTGAAAAACAATCAATTATAATTGATTTGCAATGGGTTTTAATGCTTTATTAAATAATAATTCTTTTATAATTGATTATAATAGATTATTTTTCACTCCTATAGACACTGACAATAAAACTTAAATTAAATCAACTTTTATCCACGGGACTCCACTGCGGGCACCCCCAAGCCTGGGGGAGGATGTTAACTTGGTTCCAACTTGAGAATTTTCAGCCAATCAGTATCGAGAATTTTACATGCAACGGTTAACAAGCTTATTCCGACTCAAATGATGGGGTTGAAGATCAAGCCTTAAAAATTCTGCTAGCAGCAGAATTTAGCAGAATTCGGCTCAAGAGCAGATATTTCATAGAGCAGAAAACAGAGCTGAACTTCAATCATACGGCAGAATTTGTCGATTTGGGTCTTTTCTGTAAAACGGCCCAAAATTACCAAGATTTCTATTTACAATGAAAATAATTATGTTTTTTCGTTGGAATAAAATCAACCAACCACTAGAGAGCAATATGAATCAATTTTCAAATTAAAATAAATATCAGTTTTGGGCCGAAAACGGAAAAGACCCGTCAATTTTTCTCAAAACTTTTCCAAAACTTGACGAAATAAAAGCTGCAATTCTTTTTCTCGGAAACACCAATCAAGCATCTTGGCTCTATCCGACTAAAGTTTGATCAAAAACTGCTCGATTTCTCAAAAACACAAAAATTGAATTTATCCGCGTCTCTACTAATCTACTATTTTGCTTCTTGAAAGTTCTCTGCTCGTTTTTCAAATTAATTTTTTTTCGCAAAATGATTCAAACAGTAATTTTTTTTGTAAATAACGCATGATTAAATAACATTTTGATAGAGCAGAAAAAACATCAGAAAAACATTTTTTCTATAAAGCAGCAGGAGGGCATGTTAACGTGATCAAATTATTCCGCCTGTCAATCAAAATTTCACTGATTCGAGACCTGTCGTGATCTGTGTTCGTTGCTTGATGTTGAGACAGCATTTCTCAAAAAAAAAATAGAAACAAAAATTGCATGTAGGAGAGCTAATGCGCACAGAAACTTTTTAGATTCGAAAAGCTGATGGATGATTTCAATCAAAATAGGTTTTCTTGATAGATTTGTTGTTAGTTGAGAATTTAGGGGGAATGGGAAAGCTTAAATTGATATTTGGATATCAATAACTCTTGATAATAAACAGTTTTATAATTGTTTTTTTTTTTAAAAAGTTATCTTTTATTTTCATTTTTTTGCTCGACAGTTCTTTGATTGGAAAGTATCTATGGAATAGGGAGACATATTTTAGATGATTTCAGGCGCATCAATTGCTGCTTGTTTCTGATTGATTGTGATATCATTTTAAAACTTTTTAGTTGTTATTTCGGTTCCCTTATTGACTCTGAGAGAAAAAAAAACCACTCAAAAACCACCCGAGCATAATTATTCCGTCAGTTTCTTCGAAAGTAGTCTCCTTTGAATTAAACTTTAATTCTATAATTTTATTTTTGTCGGTTTTCTTTATATTGACCATGAATCCGCTTATTCTGGACCTGTAATTTTTTTACATGTTTCATTTCTGCTTCTTTTTCTAATTTCTTACAATAAGAGAAAATTTCTGCAGTTACACTCGGTATTTTTTTTTCTTCATTTTTCTACTTTTATTTTTTCTACAATTAGAAAAGTGAATTTTTTCATGAAGGGTGTGTTGATATTATAAAAAGTGGGATGCAATTACTTCATGATAATGGCTCAGTGATCAGCTATACTTGTTGATTTTTAACAAACATTGCACTGCTTTTAAAAATGCAACCGCTACCGTTTTCTTGATTTAACTGTTTTTAATTAATATTTAGTTTGTCATAGTTTCAAAAACAGGTTTTTGCTACAAAAAGTTTAAATGTTTTGAGGGTTTTCTAGAGGTTTCTGAGACGTGTAAAATAATTGTATTTTGCCAAGTTTTTTTTCTTTATTTTTTCTTGCTTAACCTTATTCTGTTAACTGAATGAGTCGAACTTAATAAAGTTTGTATCATGTTGTAAATAGCAGAGATGGCTGATTTACAACGCTTTTTCTGAACCACTTGAATTTTATTTGTATGTTGAGAATGTCTCCTTTATGATCACTCGGGACTCTGTTTTTTATTTGCCGATTGAATAGTGGTTTTGATTTTTCAATATTTCATCTACTTCCTACCATTTTATTTTTTTTCTCCTTATTCTGCTCAAAACTGATAGCTCCTATTCTTTTTTGAGCTCGAATTTGAGACCCATAAATGAGTCGAATTGACCAAAAATACAGATTATTCTTGTCAAATATTCAAATTACACTCGACTCAAATTAACTGTTGAGTCTGGTCTGGGCTAGAAAAACAGGAAATAGTTTCAAGAAAAAAAACATTTTGACTTCCATTACATTCACTCAAGTAGGCACGCTATTTAGGCTTTGTTGGTAATCGTCTTAAAAACTATTGAATTACTTTTACTGTTATAACTACTATTATTATGACGCCTTTTGTTTTTCGTTTTAGTAATTTGACCTTAAAAAATAAAAAATTTGGGCGGAATAAGTGAAACCCTATTTTGGTTTCATTTTCTGAAAGCTTGAATGGAGGCTGAAATAATGGAATGAAAAAATTTTTTTTTAGAAGAACCGGAAGCCGAAAAAAATCTCAGCTAATCAATTTTCAGTATTCTAAAGTTCAAAAGAAGGAAGCATGAACGAATATCAGTTTTGCACGGTTTGAAGGACGCTGATTGATTGAGAATTTTCAAGCACTTGGTCTTTCACAAAATTACCACTCAAAAATTATCATTAATTAAAACTTATGAACGCTTGTTTTGGGCCACTTTTGTGGTTTGATCAAATGATATCGAAAACATTTCAAATGATTTATGAATATGGTCGGAAAGTTCAGTGCCATTTACACACTTTCAGCCTATCTATTGGTATTTGAAATTTGTAAAATTAAATGACTTATTCAGAGAGTAGAATCGTCTTTTCTATTATATGGCTGCTACTACAGAAAAAGTCCGGTTTGGAAAATGGATTAAAATATACGTATTTGTTAGATGCTACCAGTTCAATTTTAATTTTTAAATTACCGCCCTGTCTGAAAATGTTAGATATCCTGTCTTACTTTTGATTGACTCCTTCCCGTTTGACGTCATTTTGAAAAAAGTTGGCTGAGCTAGCAACCACATTACTCCATCAGACTATGAAAAAAAATAATCAAGAATATTTTTGACCGAAAAGCAATTGTTTTTAGCATTACTTAAATTAATCCCAAGATAAAAGAGACAAGCAAAGGGGGTCTAAATTTATGGCCGAAGGTCCCAATGGCAGAACTTTTACAACCGATTGCAAAAAACCGGCTGTTTATCCGGCATATTGTTTTTCAGATTGATGAACAATGTAGTATAGCTGGAATGCAACTGGGTTACTGCAGTAAATACCAGATTGCCAAAAACTTTTCGCCATCAACGTCCTCAAAACATTCCAAAGTTCACTCATTCTCTTGTTTTTTCTTCTTTTGAATCTCGAAATTGAATTCTGTTCGGCTAAAAAAATTGTTAATTCAGCCTTTCGGCTACCAAAAAATTCCCTTCAGCATTTCAGCCATGAAGAAGAAAGGTTAAGATTCAATTTCTCTATAAGTTCTATTTGCACTTGAGCTGAGAACAAAAGCCGCAATAAATTTTAGCATGTGGTTTTTGACAGGCCAATTGTGTGGATTTCATGGAGACAATATCAATACTCTTGTGGGTTCTTAAAGGTCACGCTGGCATGATTCAACCCAGATTTTTCAGATTGGTTAAGAGGGCTTTTTTTAGCTTCCACTAAAAAGTTAACTAACCAAGGAAAAAAATATTACCAACTAACTATCGATGAAACTCTTTCAGAAACGGAGTTTTACGCACTAAACGGCCCAAAATCAAAGTTGAATCTGATTGGCTAATTAGACAATCAAGTTCAAACAACATGGCCCGGTGTTTCAATCAAAAATTCCGGCAGATAAAATTTTGGCTGAAATAGCCAAACTTTGGAAATTTTCTTCCGCTGAAGCCATTTTACTGAATTTTTCTTGAAAAGAATGTGAATTGAAGTGAATTGAAAATAATGCTATTGTTAGACAAAGTTTCACATTTGATAACCTCGGCTGATTTTATTCTATCCGTTGGAAGTTTTCATTGAATTGCCTGACCAAGATATAAAGATTTTAATTTTGGGCCGTTTTGTGCATAAGAACCCCGGAATGAATCAAGGTTAATTTTTGCTGAGTTTGTCAAAAATTTTAACAAAGTTTTCTTTCAAAATTGCAGTTTAGAATACCTTGAACTTATACACTCTGTCGTTTTCTTCGAAAGTGTCGGCACAAAAAGTAATACAAAAAGTATAAATGGAAAAACGGATAGCCGAATGCTGTACAGGTTGCACAAAATGTTCCGACCTTATTCATTAAAAAAAAGCTTTTTGTTTCTTTTCTTCATGTTTGTGGTTTTTTTTCGGTCTGTGGTGTGATTCGACATCTATAAAAACGAGTAAAACATTACCGATTGCAGAAAATGAATGACCAACAAAAAAGAAATTTTAAACTTTTGTAAAACTTTTTTCTTGTTTTTTTTTTTAGAAAAACTTTAATGGCAAGAAAGCACTATATGAAACTATAAAATTAGGTATTTTTAGCCTAGAAGTCTAAATTAAAAAATTTCATATAACGATCGTTACTCGGTCGCTTTACTTGCGCAAAATTGTACAAAATTCAAACATTTAAACCAGTTTCTCTCGAGACCGGGAAAACTTTTGAAAATTTTCTAATGTCGTTCGAATCAGCACTGAAATGGCTTTAATTTGGCATATCGTTTGACACATTCAGATGACAATTTTTGGTAACTCATTATGCGTGAAAAAAAAAATAACACCAACCCGAATCCAAAGTTACTCTCCATTTTCAATGGTCGGAACAATAACAGTCGTGATTTTTTATGGCGATTTTTTTCTTTTCTATACAACAAGATATTTTTTTAGGGTTTTGATTGAAACCTAATTTAAAAAACACAGTTTTTTTAGAAATGCGCCATTACAGTTTTATCGGCAGAAAAAAAATTATGACAAGTCGCTGTCTCCCGGACCTCGACTTAAGTCGCTACTGAAATTTCAATAGTCTTTTTTGTGACAACGTTGAAATGGTACTTAAATTGAAATTAAATCTTTGGAGGCAATATTTCATTACTTTATGACAACGGTGGATTAATTTCAAAATTGCACTTAAAAAATTGGTGGCAAATTTTAATTACTTTATGACATCGTTGATTTATTTTCAAAATTGAAATTAAAAAACGTTAGGGGCGGGGCGGCTAAATCAGTTAATAATTCTAATAATAATTGCTGGCAGCAAAAATGCAAAATTTCACTAAATGAGGTTCACGGCTCTGATACCAGTTATTTGGTAAAATACTTTTAATCCAACGCATTGTTTGGTATCATCTATATTTTTCTATCACCTATATATTTGTAATTTTTTCTATATATCAAACTTAACTGAATTAAGAAAAATGATCAATGAAAATAACTGGAGACAACAGATTAAAAGACCAGTTTTTCTCATTTCGACAGAAAGTATTCTAATTTTCGAAATTTTAGCCTCAATTAGACGCAAGACAAACTAAGAGTAATTTCTTTGCTAGATTAGCTTAAATAATATCTTTCACATTAGTTAGTCAAAGAAGTCATTCGGTTGAACAGACTGATTATGTACAGCAATGATAAAAACAAACTCTTGATCACTAAATAATAATCATAATAAATTGTTTTCAAGCAGAAAAAAACAAATTCACAAAATGACACCAGTAAATTTACAACTTCCTGGGAGATCACCACTGGATCTACAGATCCGTTTCAAAGTGTCTCTGAAAACGGATCTGTAGTTCATTGAGTTCATTTTTTGTCAGGTACTCCGGCTGGTTCCTGGCACTCCTAACTCCCAGTCTTCTCTCCCTCCTCCTCATTCCCCTGGCATGCGCCTTCAGACCAGTCGAGATGTACTACCCAGGAAGACTGAAGCCCACCACACCCAAAACACCCTCCAAACTGCTGGACACACTGCCACCTGTGAACCCATTGGCTATCAGGTCTTTCCAGTTGTGGCTCCTCGTTATGTTCTTCACATCTTTGGGATTCTATGTTCCAGTGAGCTTACTGGTGAGTGGTAATACACACTATGATTATAATTTTATAAATAAATATTGCAGGGAAATTTTGTTCGAACGAAGGCTTTTAGTCGAGCAAAGTCAAATCGTGGCTCAAACAGAGTACATAGAGTCGAACGGGTAGTTTTTCTTTAGCCAGTCAAAAAATTGGCTTTTAACTGCAATTTTCGCCATAGTACTTGATAACTGACTAAACTCATCTTAAGGATCAAGTTTTTGTGTTCTAAAGGGCTGAGATAATTATTACATATCCCATTGAAACACGAATCTGTAATTGATTAGAAAAATGGAATTTGAAAAAGTCGAGACAGTCAAAACATACCCATTTTTGATTGAGAAAGTCGAAACATATCTATACGGGGTCAAACAACTTTTTTTTCGAAAATACTGGTCGATACAGTCGAAACATATTGAACTTTGGCCGAGAAGGTCAAAACATATCTGAGCTGGGTCGAACAGTGTCGACTAATTTTTTTGTTCGATCGAGAAAGTTGAATCATAGCGAAATTTGGTCAAGACGGTCGAAACATACCGGTTTTTGGTCGAGATACTCGAAACATAAACCGAGCACTTCGACCCGGGAGAATAACATAAATTGAACCCGAAGGGATTGGACTGTCACAGAACCCAAATCTATAGCAACTCATAAAATAACAAATGTTTCATAACATTTTATTCTTGCTCTCTGAACCACATGGTTCACTAATAGTAATTTGCAGCATCGCTGGTCAAGTTCACGTGACAATATATCAAAATCTTTTGTTCAAGGTTGACAGGTAAAGAAAAAAAGTCCAATTTTGGATGAAAACACAGAAGAAAACTGTGAATTACAAGGAGACGGTTGTGATCTAGACAATGAATTTAATAGCGCGCGAGCTAACTAAACAAAACTGAGGCATTTTGACTAGTGGCTGAAAAATTTAGGCGAAAAACTAATAATTGTTTCACAACTTGCTTGTCCTCAAATCGAACGAAAATAAGGCTAACCGATGTAACAGACAGTGATTCAATGTTCGGTTAATAATTGTCTTATGAATGGATGCCTTGCTTCTGCTTCGTTTGAATTACCGTCGCTCATAATTTTCTATTAAGTTGACTGTCTAGATCAGACCAGTCTCCTTGCTTGTCTTTCACCGAAAAATTTTATGCTTCTTTTGTTAATTTATAACTTTCATGCTGGCGTCAGGCAGTAAAAGATGTTTGAAACCAAGTAATGATATATATTCAAGCTGATTTTGTAACTTAAAAGATCATAAAGGTATGATGAAAATGTTAGTCGTACCATTTCTTAGGAAGGAAAAACCGCTAGCCGCGGATATATCAGACAGTCAAACGATCGACGCATGAAATGCTTCTTCCATAGTATGATATTAAGGTACTAGCTATTTTTGTCATTCCGGGGTATGTGAGATGATAAATTTTTCCCCAGATTGGTTGAAAACTTGTTCTATAATGTTTGCTGTTATTTATTTTTCTCTAATGATTCTTCTCAATACAGTTGTTTCAACGCTCTTTCTCGACCCCAATTTTAATTTTCGACATTTTTGTTGCAGCCTAAGCAACTCAACCTAATCAATTTTTCAGTTATTTGTTGTATCCGATTTTCTAATGAAAAAAAAATCATTAATCGAAACAATAAATACTGAATGGATTAACGAGTTTTTCAATACTGGGAATCTGCCAGTATCAACTAGTTGCTGTACTAGGAATAATATAGCGATTTTAATTTAAAAACTTCTAATGCTAATTCTCTTCTAATTCTAATCAAATATTTATGCTTGTGTAGTTTTTTCTATTTCTAGCTTCAAGTCTTAAACGTGTTTATAATTCTGTTCCGCCTGAAAAAAATGCTTCAATCTCAAAAGCATAAAAAATTTGAGTGCATGCTCATTTTTCTTAGTTAGATGGGTTAAAAATTGGGCATTTTGGGAAAACAATGTTTATATGATATAATTCTACTGACGGGTAGCACAAAAGCGATTGAGTACGGCTCCCAAGCAGTTTCAATTGAAAGTTAATTGATCCCAGGATGAATAACCTATCTGTTAAGATAATGAACAGCAATTTTGTAGAGAAAAATTACAAAGATGATTTTGATTTCTTTCTTCCTTTTGTAAGTGTTTTCAATTTTGATGATTTTACTGCAACCATAATGATCCGAAAAATCCGATATACCTGCAGCAATCAAATTACTTTTCTTCGAAAGATGCATAACTTTCCATTCAATAATTAAAAGTTTGAAATTATTTTCCATCAACTACGTATTGTTTTTTGTCAAATATTTTGCTGTTTTTAACAAAGCTAACAAGTAAAAACTTTTGGTGTCAAAAAGATGAAGGGCTTTGGGCTTTTTACTGGATAATTTAAAATTGAAAGTTTATGCCATAAAAAAAGTAAAACTTATTTTTTGCTCGAAATTTTTGGCAATTTGGGTAGCGCTAATGATTTCCAGCGATGAAGTTCCATTGATAATTATCAGTTCTATTAATTTCATGGTCTGTCTCCGTTAGAGAGACAGACTGGGTAGATGTGGGGAAAAGGGTAGAGAGGATAGGTATGAGTGTTGGGTGTAAGAATGGTTTGGTCAGTTTGGGTGTTAAAATGAAGAGGCTTGTTAAATTTGTGAGGCATATCGTTTTGCAAAAATTGAGTAAGTTGGAGCAGGTTTAGAAATCGAGTAGGCTGTGAGTCATTCAAAACAAGATGCAAATTTTGCAGAACTTTTCGAAAATTTTTAATGCAAATTATAATCCCTCATAATTTGTTATAATTAGTGGGGTGCGCAGATTTTTTCTTCTTGGGTTGGGGGGGGGGGGGGCTGTTTTTTTTGAAAAAGTTCAGGTTTTTGTAATTTTTTCTCTAGGCCGAACAATTGTTTTTCCGGGCACTCACAAAAAAACTTAAAGACTCAAATTTTTCAAAAAAAAACTTGTCAAAAATGCTGTTTTTGGCACTCTTTGGAAACTTTTAACCAAAAAACTGCTTTTGTTTGGCGCGTGCTTCCCCTCAAGATTAGTTATTTTGGCGCCGAAGGCACCTTTAGAAATATTTTGAAGTTGGCTGGGCAAAAGTGGATGTCATAAACATATACCAAATGGGGGAACCTTTGGAAAAACTTGGCAACTAGAATTGAGGGAGGAGCGGTTGCACGCTATTCTTAATGGATTTTAAAGTTATTATAATCGACTGAAGTTTTTTAAGAAATAGTGATTAAAAATGATTTTCAATCAATTCTGTGTAATTATTATCAATTATAATGGCAACATTTTTGCATTAAGAAAATCGGTTATAATCGATTTTTGGTCAGTGGAACTTCAGTGCGGGTACAATTGACTCTCTCAAATAGTTTCTTTCTTGATGACGTAAAACGTACGCTTGCGTTAGCTTATCTTTTTCTGGAGACAGATAGCAAAGGTGCATATTTGAATGATAAGCTCATACAAGTGTCGCTACACAGTTATTCTTATCTTCTGCATAAAATATCGATTAAAATACTCCCACGGCGACTCAGTAAACCATTTAGTCACTTTTTTTTATGTTCAATATCGAGAATTAATCTCTGGTTTTTACAGATCAATGCTCTGTGGGAAAAGATGGATGGAATTATAAATGATAAGAAATCTCATTAAATAGCATCAAAATTGATCCTTTTCCCCATTTTTGTCTTCTTAAGTCGCTTTGAGCGCTTTTGAGGTCTCTGAAAACTCACAAATTGGATGCATATATCAACGAGATGTCATCGTTCAGCAAATACCTGCAAGGTTTTCTCACCCGCTACGCAAATAAATTACATAAAATTATCGAAAATATGTCCCTAATGCAGAATATGATAGATTGAATTTGTTAACATACACATCACCCAACCTCCCCCCCCCCCATCACTGCAACTACCAACCAGTGAGCGGACGCCTTTTCCTTCTTCACTCAGGGATTCGACCCCCTGACGACCCAAAGGGTCCCCCCTTTGGTATACCCTAAATTTTTTCTAAAGGCGCTTTAGGTGCCAATACATACTAATTATGAAGGGTAAGGGCACGCCAACAAAAAAACTTGTTTTTTGGTTAAAACTTTCCAAAAGTGCCTAAAAATGCTTAGTTTTTTAAAAGAAATCCGCCCCTAGTGAGGAAATCCAGGAAACGCCTCTGCTCTCAACAAAGCTCGAACTTTTAGCAGTTGGATTTTTAGACAACCAATCAGAACCGACTACTCTACATGCAGCGCATAGCTTTTTTAGCCCAAAATGTTTAGTGAGACGAAAAATTTTGCTTGAAGGTTGGGGGGGGGGGGGGTGGATTAAAATTCTCCAATAAGGTTGGGGGGATTAAAACTCTCCAAAAATTTTTGGTGAAATTACAACTAAACAATACAACTGCTGCAAGCTACTCATTAGTGGCGTAATTTGATTCGTATTTTAAGTATATTCAAGTTGTTCTTTCATTGTTTAAACTTCGCAGCAGTAACGTATACTATTTTCTTGGAACACAAGCTTCGCTGATTTGAATGGTAATTTTTATATCAGATTTTGCGTCATTTAGTTCTAGAATTCTAAATTATTTTTCTCGACCAAACTTTGACTGCTTTGTAATTAAGCACTTTCCAGGTTGTTTTTGGGATGTTTCGTTTTCATAAATTACGAATTTGACACGAGTTGTTTGCTTACTTAACTATTTTTCTTTTTCAATACAAAAGAGTTTTTAAATTCTGAGCTTTTAATTCTTAAAGAGATGTGATTTCTTCAAAAGCCCAACTTCGGTCATCGGTTCAACCAAATTTATCAGGTTCGGACAGCTTACCTATCACAAAGAGCCCTGCTTTTTAATGGGGGGACGGTAATTCAGAAGGCAGGAAATTAGTCTGAAAATCAAAAAATGCGGAAACACAGAAGACAGTCATTTCAGAAGAGTAAAAATTGGGAAATTGAGTCTACATCTTAAAGAAAGGCTTATTTTTAGTTTAAATTTATACTAAGCAATCTGGATATTAGGGTACTAG